CTCCGACCGAGCGCCCCTATCCCCTGCCGCCCACGCGCCGGTCTCACCGCTAACCCGCTTCAGGACCCCCGTCTGACCACTGATACCACGTCCTCTGACCCTCAGGCGTGCCGTGACCTGACCACGTCCTCTGACCTCAGGCGTGCCGTGACCTGACCATGTCCTCCGACCTCAGGCGTGCCGTGACCTGACCACGCCCTCTGACCTCAGGCGTGCCGTAGCCTGACCACGTCCTCCGACCTCAGGCGTGTCGTGACCTGACCACGTCCTCTGACCTCAGGCGTGCCGTGACCTGACCACGTCCTCCGACCTCAGGCGTGCCGTGACCTGACCACGTCCTCCGACCTCAGGCGTGCCGTGACCTGACCACGTCCTCTGACCTCAGGCGTGCCGTGACCTGACCACGTCCTCTGACCTCAGGCGTGCCGTAGCCTGACCACGTCCTCCGACCTCAGGCGTGTCGTGACCTGACCACGTCCTGTGACCTCAGGCATGCCGTGACCGACCACGTCCTCCGACCTCAGGCGTGCCGTGACCTGACCACGTCCTCTGACCTCAGGCGTGCCGTGACCTGACCACTTCCTCCGACCTCAGGCGTGTCGTGACCTGACCACGTCCTCCGACCTCAGGCGTGCCGTGACCTGACCACGTCCTCTGACCTCAGGCGTGCCGTGACCTGACCACGTCCTCCGACCTCAGGCGTGCCGTGACCTGACCACGTCCTCCGATCTCAGGCGTGCCGTGACCTGACCACGTCCTCCGACCTCAGGCGTGCCGTGACCTGACCACGTCCTCCGACCTCAGGCGTGCCGTAGCCTGACCACGTCCTCCGACCTCAGGCGTGCCGTGACCTGACCACGTCCTCCGACCTCAGGCGTGCCGTAGCCTGACCACGTCCTCCGACCTCAGGCGTGCCGTGACCTGACCACGTCCTCCGACCTCAGGCGTGCCGTAGCCTGACCACGTCCTCCGACCTCAGACGTGCCGTGACCTGACCACCAGGCGTACCGTGACCCGATGATGTCCTCTTACATCAGGCGTGCTGGTGGCCATGGTGGCCGTGGCCGACACGGTGAAGCCGGAGGCGCACCTGGCCGTGTACACGCTGAAGCGGATGGGCCTGGACGTCGTGCTGCTGACTGGCGACAACCAGAAGACGGCGGCGGCCATCGCGCGCCAGGCCGGCATCTCGCGCGTCTTCGCCGAGGTCCTGCCGTCGCATAAGGTGACCGGCCGCCGCGGTGCCCTTCCCTCCCTGTCGCCACGTTCCTCTTGGTTCCGCTCCTTCCACACGGCGTGCTGGGTCGTCACTCTCAGCATGGCTGTGTGTGTGCCGCTGTCTGGGATGTGGCGCCTGTGTGAATGCGTGGTGGGAGGGGACGCATCGATACACGCTGGTGCATTGCCGCGTCCGTGACCTCTGCTGGCGTGCCACCTGTGCAGCGAGAGGCGGCTGTTGTGTGATTGCGTCAGACGGGGTATTCGTCAATGTCCTTTTACTCCAGCTGCGTTATGCAGCGAACCGGTGCGTTTTTCCTCATGCACTGTGCGGCTTTTTATCAGCTTGCATTCACATGTGCAATATGGCCAGACAATATGCCATGCGATGTCGTGACCATACTAATAGTATATCCTCTATCATAGCAATGACGTACCAAATACCATAAGATGTCCGTATATGAATGCAAAACTGTCGAAACACATAATTAAGCGCACTCCTTAACACAAGGAAATGTTAATACTTTATGGTATTTCTCTTAACATCAGTACGAGCAAACGTAAGCCGCGCGCTGCGCCGCGAGCGCTGCGTGACATGCTATCGCGTGTCGGCCCCAGCTGCTCTCATGATGAAAGGCCTCATGTGAGTGAGCAGGCTCCCGTTAAATATACCTCCTTCGCGAACGGACCGTGTGTGTCCAGCCCAGGTGGCGTCACATCTGGCGGTCCCTGTACCGCACTCGAACCCAGTGCCGGTCCCCGTCCGTACTGACGCCGCCGCCACGGTCGGCCGCCCAGGTGAAAAAGATCCAGCAGCTGCAGTCGCTGGGCCAGCGGGTGGCCATGGTGGGCGATGGCATCAACGACTCGCCGGCGCTGACGCAGGCCGACGTCGGCATCGCCATCTCGTCCGGCACGGACGTGGCCGTCGAGGCGGCCAGCATCGTGCTCATGCGGGTCAGTGGCGCCGTCGGACCCCCTGCCGCGTCCTCCCGCGAGCTGCGGCACCGGATCGCTGGGTGGCGGGTGCCCCTTCACTGCTGGCTGGATGGGTGAGGGGCTGGGCGGATAGGCATGCACGGCGTGCGATGCGGATGGGATCCACGGAGGTGAGGGTTGGTGCTTGCATAAGAGGGGGGGGGGGGGGGGAGGGTTGTGGATCGGTTCAATTGCCGCGGTGGTTAGGAGCGCAGTCGGACGATGAGCTGGACTGCGATCGGGGCGCGTTCTGCGCCACCTGCGGTTTTTCGTGGAAGACTGGTGGGCGTGGGCCAGCTGTGGTGGTCAGTGTTCGGGTTTGTGATGTTTTGAACATGATTAGGTGCCCCTTGTCATGTATTGTAGGACATAGGCATGAAGAAGACGGCGCTGTTTCTTTTAGCAAGGTTACGGTCGTCACACCAGGCACGACCAACCACCATTCTTACATGTTTTAGCTGGCATAAATTACAAATTTGTTCTGATCTAGGATACCTCGCCGTCTTTGGTGTGTAGGACTGGCCCGTCCTCGTAACTTGGTTTTTGTTCTTACTAAAACAGCGTTGTAAGTGGAAGCTCACGGAGGGCACGCACCAGGTAAAACGTGAGAGGACCCAATGGAGAGCGTGGTTGTTCGAATCTTTGCTTATCTCATGTCTTATCTTTGCTCACCGTCTTTTTCCTTGCAGAACGATCTGCTCGACGTTATTGCCTGTCTCGATCTCTCGCGCGAAGAACAGTGAAGAGGATAGAATGAACTTCGTCTTCGCCAGTATTTATAACCTCGTCGGTACGTTAGCTTCTTTTTAGCTAACTCCCACTGCACACCGATTGTGATGCCAGCGACTCAATGCCCTGCATTTGACAGTGGTGGACATCTCCCGGCCTCGTGTGCCATTATGCGGGTGGTTTCCCTCGGCTAGATGTGCCTCCTCCCTTAACTGATATCCCTCAGGTAATGGTGACGCTCGGTCACAGGTCATTGATATGATACGAATGTGACTCCATTAACATGTCCGCGCAGGCAGCCCTCGGATTAATACGCACTGACACCCGTGACAAGCACCGAACCTGTGAGCTCGGTGTGACCCCAGCAGCAAGACGTATCTCAACTCAGCATCGCTCGGACGGGCACCCCTCGGCTGGGTGACCACCGCTCTGACAGGCCTCACGCGGCTGAATGCGCCGCCCCTCCCCCCGATGACACAGTCGCACTCGTGACTTCAGCGGTGCCGCTCTCTGTCGACGGCGTGCCCCGTGCGCCTGCTCTAGTGGGGCCGCGCCCCCTAGCTCAGCGTGTTTCCTTTCCGTGCGGCAGGTATTCCTCTGGCGGCCGGCGTGTTCCGGCCCTGGGGTATCGTGCTGCAGCCGTGGATGGGCTCGGCCGCCATGGCTCTCAGCTCGGTCTCGGTCGTCTGCTCCTCGCTGCTGCTCAAGCTGTGAGTTCGCGAACGGAAGTGCTGTCGGGGCAGATCCGCCGGCTCTGCTGTAGCCGCACCGGCTGTCCCATTGGCGTCCGAAGACACGTCTTGTGAACGCGTCGTTTTAAGCCGTCGGCCCGTTGGCGTTTTCTACATAGTTTGTCTCTAGTGCGCGACTCCGTAACGGATCGGGTATGTACCGTCGGCGCAACGTGGGTGGACATTTCGGCTCTAACATACAGAGATCCGCTTCCTGGCGTGCAATATTGAGCGTGCGCGCCGTCCCGTGCGGGGTCCAGGGATGCCGGGGGCGTCCACTATTATGTGTCCACTGTCCAGGCTGCCGTGCTGTGGCGACCAGGCTACTGGCGATTTCTGGATCCTTATCGTTTCCACTAACGATTCTGTCCGCATTTGAATGTCCCGTGCTTCTGACCCTCCGCTTCACCTTCTTGACCTCTTGACTTCCCGCCGCGTGGATCTGGCCGCTGCTTGTGTTAGAGGAGATGCGTGAGTTACACGCTAGTCCTTGTACCAACATGTCTCATAGTAAGATTTCACTGATGATTTAATGGTACGATGCTGAGTGTGATGCTCATGATGGTGCCGACGTTCATGATGATGTTGGTGACGACCTGCCAACCCGGCCGTCGATGGCAGGTACAAGAAGCCGACCCGCGAGAGCCTGGCCACTTTGGAGTACCTGAAGGCCATGGAGGCGCGCTCGCTGGCGCACGACTCGGCCGACACCGTGTCCATCCACCGCGGCCTGGACGACATCACCATTAGCATGCCGAAGACCAGCACCAGCCTCAGCAGGTGGGCCCCCGTCGGCGTCGTCCGGGGGCGTTCAGCGCGCGCCGCGGTCTCCGGGGGTCGAGCCGGCGCGGCGCGGTCTCCGGTGGATCGAGCCGGCCCGGCGCGGTCTCCGGGAGATCGAGCCGGCGCGGCGCGGTCTCCGGTGGATCGAGCCGGCGTAGCGCGGTCTCCGCGAGATTGAGCTGGCGCGGCGCGGTCTCCGGTGGATCGAGCCGGCGTAGCGCGGTCTCCGCGAGATTGAGCCGGCGCGGCGCGGTCTCCGGTGGATCGAGCCGGCGCGGTGCGGTCTCCGGAAGATTGAGCCGGCGCGGCGCGGTCTCCGGAAGATCGAGCCGGCGCGGCGCTGGTGCAGTCGGCACAGCCGGTTTTCTTTCCAGCTATGTGTGCGGTGGCTGGTGCACTAGCGGAGTGGGAGTAGCCGATTTGCATGAAGTTTGCTGTGATGTGGTAATTTTCTTTTGCTGCTCTTTATTTGCTCCCTTTTGGCTTTGTGGTGGCGGTACTGAGGCCTTGCATGGTTGAAGGTCCCCCAGGTGATCCCATTTCAGCTGCTGCTCCGTCGCTTTCTATCTCTAACAGCCCTCTCAGCCTCCAACAAGGCCTTGCATGGCAGCTTCAATAATCGCCAGTGAGTAGCGCGACTCGCATGAGCTCCCCCTCCGCCTAGCAGGTCGACGGGAGCGTCGACGCTCACCGATGATGAAGGGAAGCAGCTTCTCTCCGACCACAGTCACCTCTAGTCATCCGTGAGTTGTGCTGGCCTGGTGCCGGTCATGTTCGGGGAGCCGTTGTGAGCTGTTGCTGAATCGTGCGGCGTCGGTGTCCGCTGCCGCAAGCCGCGATGGCTTGATTTTGGACTCGGCTGACGGCACAGTCGACGTGTAACCAAGGCATGCCGCGGCTGTTGGTGAGGTCAACATGGCCCATGCATGCCGCAAAGGCACTGAAATCGAAGCAGAAAGGAAGGAAATGTCCGTCTTTATCATGTCGGCTAGTGATCGTGGAACAGTTGCAAGATGC